CTAGAATTTTATCTGTTCCCCAGGCTAAAATGTGGGTTCGCGCATGCGCAGTAACAAACTAAATAACTGATATTTTGATTCAAAAACGTATTTAAACTGGAGCGGGGTAGCCGTTTGTAGATTTATGGGATAAAAGTCTATTGCTATGGCTCTTGTAAAAGATGGTACGACGCCCTAGCTTGCAGGGTACACTTGACATAATGTTTCTGGCAGCATTCTCTCAGATACATGCACGCGTATATATTCATCGAAAAACGAGTCATTTTAACAGATACTGGGCATATGCAACCCAGGACATGGCCGCCTGCCACATTAGCAAATATTATAGAATTTTATCTATGTTCCCCAAGCTAAAATGCGGGTTCGCGCATGCGCAGTAATAAACTAAATAACTGATATTTTGATTCAAAAACGTATTTAAACTGGAGCGGGGGTACCCATGTGTATAATTATGGGGAAAACGTCTATTGCTATGGCTCTTGTAAAAGATGGTACGACGCCCTAGCTTGCAAGGTACCCCGGACATAATGTTTCTGGCAACATTCTCTCAGATACATGCACGCGTATATATTCACCGAAAACTCGTCATTTTAACAGATACTGAGCATATATATGCAACCCATGATATGGCCGCCTGCCACATTAACAATTATTATAGGATTTGATCTATGTTCCACAGGCTAAAATGCGGGTTCGCGCATGCGCAGTAACAAACTAAATAACTGATATTTTGATTCAAAAACGTATTTAAACTGGAGCGGGGGTAGCCGTGTGTAGATTTATGGGATAAAAGTCTATTGCTATCGCTCTTGTAAAAGATGGTACGACGCCCTAGCTCGCAAGGTACCCATGCAGGACATAATGTTTCTAGCAGCATTCTTTCAGATACTACGTGTATATATTTGCCGAAAAACTCGTCATTTTAATATATTTTGTTTTACTGTGTAATTCCTTTCTCGACGAATAGCAATACGAATAGGAAACGCTTGTATCCTTATAAGTTCCCGATCAAGTGTTTGCAGTGAAACTATATTTAAGGAACCCATCCTGCGCGCATGCAAAATTATTCCTAAAATCAGAACTTAATATCCAATTATAAATAAATTAAAAGTAATCAATATGATTACACCCACCATTAGGAAAGTACAATGACTACGCCTTTCAATGATTGTAGACAATGAATGATGCATATTCATTATATCGTAGTACTTCCTTTGTACAGTGGATATCGATTCATTCCCTTATATTGGCTCGGTTAAATGAAGAAAAATGTCGGTTTAGCTGTCTGGTAAAGTTGCGACTCAATACTAGTTTAGTGAGCAGTCTTTGCCCGTCCCTGAACCCACACAGTGCTATGCCTTTTGGAATTCAAAATAATTGCCGAAAATCTTTTCGCAACTAAGCCGATTTCTCTACACATGGACGCAAAACTGTCAAATCTATATTATGACTCCCCTACCGTTTCTTTTAATAGAATCACTAACAGATATATCGTAGGCTTTGTTAACATATAGTAAATTTGTTTTTTGTATACGCCAAGAAAGACCCCATCAGCTCACAGATGTAGCTTCCGTAAACAAACCTACGCTGTTCGGAAGAATTATAAACGCTTGGAGGCGCTTCACATAAGCTCTAGTAGCTATAGAGCAGGCAAAAAACTCAATGCCTGCTAAAAAATTCCATATAAGCAGCGACGACGTTGGTATGCGTGGTTGCTTCGTCGAGTCGGTTTAAAATAAGCTGTCAGTCGGCTCGACATTGAATTCTAATGTACCACAAAATCCCGCAGAATACATTCAACCAAACGTAGAAATTATCTGTTGACATCGATTTGGCTGTACGAAAATGTCCGCGTACAACGCATGATATCACGTTTCTCTGTCTCGATTACGGACTAGTAGACAGTGAACATACGAGAGAGCGGGCCATGCCCGAAATGTGTTTAACAGCTGTCGTATCTTGCAGAGATGCAACCATTGCGAGTCGAGATGCAAACGCAGAGCATGCAAACAATTTGCCTATACACGCACTCATAACTCCAGCAAACCCGTGATATGTTAATAACGCGCGTATGACAACATATACGAGTGACCCGCCGGGTATGCACAGATCACATTAAATTAAGATGCCAACAGAAGATCAAATTGTTCGTGTTGTGTAGAACTACATCTTCATTGTGTTTAATAGCAGATATTTTTGGCATAAATAGTTATGACCATAGCAATATCGTTTATTGCATTTTAAACTTAATAATGCGATTTGCATATTCCGTATCCAGACACAATTTCTTAACAAATTTCTTTAAACGAGTCTAAAGGAAATAGCTATGCCGGCTTACTGAGCAATAGCAAGCCAATGTAAAGCTTAGCCACACCCCTAGATAGAGCTGGGAATACGTTAGAGATTCGCAGGGATTCATGCTATAAAAATTACATCATATTTTTATTTAAAACACAACAATGGCCTCGATCGATGAGCGTAATTCGCACAGATTGTTTCATCGCCTATCTACATTTAGAACCGCTAATTGCTCTCGACTCAAGCTTAAAACTATCTACCTTCTGTATGCACGCGAACACACATCCCATTTTTATCGACTGGAACGCTGGCCGTTTCAAAACAAACGAAATACGATACCGACTTCATGACACAAGCCAGTTTACTAGTAATCCAAGCCGTAAACCTAAAATAGCGATTACATTACGAAGTAATTACGTTTAATATACTGTTACGTATAACGGAGTACTACCATAATTTGCTATTATATATATTATAATATTATATATAATATATATATATATATATATATATTATATATATATATCTGTATATATATCTCTATTGAGAATTCATATGTCAGCCGTCATACAGTATCACGATTACCGCATAATTTCACTTGAGACAACTATAATCAGGTCATATCAAAACACTTTACACTTATACTAATCTAGTTTTCAGTTCGGGTAACACAAGCGACCACGTTTATAATACTATACGAATTAACACCTTCATATAAAAGACGCGAGCGGACATTGGCCTCGATCTAGAAATACTTTAGCATCTATATACGTATAGTTTTACTGTATGAATCTAAAATGTCAGTGGATCTTACAGCCCTCTCTCCGGACGGCCAAACCAACCAGCGATGTTTATTTACTATCGACAGTCGCTGCTCTGCTTGCAGCCTTTCCTCAGCACCCTATATGGTGCTCGTGGCCCGCTCCTGCCGGCGCATGCCCCACTAGCACTATATATACCACACGACGACGAAGCTGCCTCAGTTCAGTGAGAAACTTCACGTACTCCCATTCTCAGTTGTAACTTCTGGTAAGTACGTGTGTTGTGTGTATGTGCATGCATCTATGCGGGATAGCTTGCGTGTGTAAGTGTTTGTTTGTTTGATAGTGAGATGACGTTAGAAACCATCGGTTAAACGATTGTCGAATAATAGGGATGAATTTAACTTAGATGGCATCAAGTGATATCTCACAGATTTCAATTCAAAAATAATTCAATTATAGAATAGAATTAAATATAGAATATTCTATAAAAGATTAATTATAATATTTTGGCGTAGGCTAGCTGCTTTCGAACTGAAATGTGGGGCAAGGTGTTCCACTCGTAGCGAAACTCGAAGTTGGCCGCTACACCAACAGTTCGTCAGCAGCAGTAAAGTAGTTTCATGTTTAGAAGCATCTTCGCACAGCAGCCCCGCTGCGCTGGATATGTAAACCGTATAGCGCTGGCCCTTCGAGAAAGTGCTCGCTTACACGCAGTGCGTCGGTCTAAGCTGCCCGCACGAGTAACATCTCGCGGTGTCGCGTTACATTACGCTCTATTTATAATCCTCACGCTTTGTTTCAGTTGCCCGACCGACCAGTAAATATGTGCGACGACGATGATGTAGCAGCTCTTCGGGACAATGGCTCCGGAATGTGCAAGGCCGGTTTCGCCGGTGACGACGCCCCACGTGCCGTCTTCCCCTCCATCGTCGGAAGACCACGTTCACCAGGTGCGCAGGCTTTTGCATCACATAATTAAATTATTATACGATAATAAAATATATTGAAATATAATTAAAATAATTATTAAAAACATATGGCCAGACATGGCAAAGCAAGTTTCTCTGGTTTTAGCAAATGAGCTGACGGGATTGTCTCTTAAGACAGGGTGACGCAACTATTTAAGAATATTCTGCCTTCTATTCTACTACAGCACTTCATTCTAGTCATTAATGATATTCATCTCTTTAATCATTATGCGTGTCTTCCGCAGGGTGTCATGGTTGGTATGGGACAGAAGGACAGCTATGTAGGAGATGAGGCTCAGAGCAGAGAGAGGTATCCTCTCTCTGAAGTACCCCATCGAGCACGGAATCGTCACCAACTGCGGATGATATGGAGAAGATCTGGCACCACACTTCTACAACGAACTGCGTTTCTCCAGAGGAGCACCCAGTCCTGTTGACTGAGGCCCCACTGAACCCCAAGGCTAACATAATATATTCGTAAATGAAGTACCAGATAGGCCTATCTACACTACACATATATAAAACTATGTTTTTATAGTAGCATTGCAGAAATTATTTAGTTGTGAAGCTGGTAAATACTGGTATGATAACATTAAACATACTATAACTATTGTGTGTATTTACACATATTTTACTTAATTTAATATTTTATGTTTATATATAATATATTGAATATTTCTATTAACGCCAATGTTGTTTATTCTTTGCAGATCATGTTTGAGACCTTCAACACCCAGCCATGTACGTCGCCATCCAGGCTGTCCTGTCTCTGTACGCTCCGGCCGTACCACCGGTATTCGCTGCTGGACTCTGGTGATGGTGTCAGCCACACCGTCCCCATCTACGAGGGTTACGCGCTCTGCCCCATGCCATCATCCGTTTGGACTTGGCTGGCCGCGATCTGACCGACTACCTGATCAAGATCCTGACGAGCGTGGCTACAGCTTCGTCACCACCGGTAGGTCTCGTTATATATTTAGATAATACTATTAATTGCCCATAAGTGTAATACAACAAGAATACGCCGCTTACAACTTATTATATAATGAATTAAGTAACTAATCGTATTCGTTTTGCCACCTGCAGCGAGAGAGAAATCGTGGCGTGACGTGAAGGAGAAGCTGTGCTACGTCGCCCTGGACTTCGAGCAGGAGATGGCCACCGCTGCTGCCTCTTCCTCCCTGGAGAAGAGCTACGAGCTTCCCGACGGACAGGTCATCACCATCGGCAACGAGAGGTTCCGTTGCCCAGAGGCCCTCTTCCAGCCATCCTTCTTGGGTAGGTGGCATTACGATAGTGTAACAATGTTGGTGTATTATCGCTTGGCTTATATCAATTATTGTAGTTAATTCAATATGACAAAAGCCGTTAAAACAATGGGTTGAAGAATTGATGCATGAATTAATTTACGTACTGGGGAGGAATAGGTGAAGTAGCCGAATAGTATATGTTACTGGTATTATTTCTAACCCAATCATGTTTTGCCCACAGGAATGGAATCCACTGGTATCCACGAGGCTGCCTACAACTCCATCATGAAGTGCGACATTGATATCCGTAAGGATCTGTACGCCAACACCGTCCTGTCCGGTGGCACCACCATGTACCCAGGTATTGCCGACAGAATGCAGAAGGAGATCACTGCCCTTGCCCCAAGCACCATGAAGATCAAGATCATTGCCCCACCAGAGAGGAAGTACTCCGTATGGATCGGTGGCTCCATCCTGGCTTCCCTGTCCACCTTCCAGCAGATGTGGATCAGCAAGCAGGAATACGACGAGTCCGGCCCAGCGATTGTGCACCGCAAGTGCTTCTAAGCGCTGTCGCCATCGTCATGATCTCCATCTCCATCGCTGCTTCTCGCGCTCCTATGTCGGGCCGTACCGCGCGTCAGCAACAAACGGCGTGTCATGGCTGCGCTCGATAGCTTTAAACGTGATCTCTCGTGATCTTGTATTTCGTTTTGCCATACCTTTTGTCCTTGTTTAGCTATACGAAATTAACGCACTACAGCAATCGCTGTCAATACAAAACACGTGTTCGAGTTTACGCTATGCTCAGGCCGTCCTGTTTTCCTAATAAAATGAGTCATATGTAGTTTACTCGTTCAGTTGATTTCCTGGTATGGATATCTCCTTCGTGTGTTTATTACGTACGTACACACACATCGCGCGCGCACACGCACGCGGACGCACACATGCACGTACGCGCACACGCACGCACAAGCGCATACATACATGTACGCAGGCCAATGCCTAACGTAAAAAACCTGGCAAGCTTTTCTGGTCGGCAACTTGTGCTTAGTATAACGAGACGTTCGAGTTTCCAACCTTCCAACCAAAATAGAATGTCTAATTTTACCGACAACGACCCGTACGTGTAAGCGTATTTAGAAGCCCGTCCGCCGCCAATGTTCAACGTAAAGCTCGACCATACCGCTTTCATTAAAGCCGTTTTCCCGCTTTAGGAATTTCAAATAAGCCGTAGCAAATGCCAGCAAAACCTACATGAATAATAAATTGACCCACAAGTGAATTTTATGGCGTTGAAAACGAAAATGTAAAATGGGTAGCATATGTTCATACTTCCCGAAAGAAACTTCCATCTTGATTATCGACACTTTAGCAAAAGCGTCAACGCAAAAGACCCCTAAGGACTAGGGTCCCTGTATACAGAGAGTTGCGCCATGACGAGTCGGAAAAAATCGGTCACGTGATCGCTGGACGGCATGTTGTTTCCAAATTCATCCACACCGCTGCCGCTTAAGTACAGCGCTGTATGGATACGCTGTACAATGGTCCGTAGTAATTAATTAGACTAATCGTACTTCAATAAACTCAAAATTTACAGAGATTATAGCTAAGACATGTGTCTATGTGTATCTGGATTTCTAGAACTGCAAAACACATGTTACAGCTGCGAGCGAGTGGAGAGTGGAACGCATTTATCTTGTGAATTACAGTTGTCATTATTCTTCCAAAATGACTAGCTGCTGTGTTTACACTAAGAAAGTGTACAATTAAGCTATCATATGGCGCGAACGATTTGAGTTACTTTTCTAGAAATCTAGATACACATAGACACATGTCTTAGCTATAATAAATCTCTGTAAATGTTGAGCTTATTGAAGTACGATTAGTCTAATTAATTACTACGGACCATTGTACAGCGTATCTATACAGCGCTGTACTTAAGCGGCAGCGGTGTGGATCC